TTTTCTTTTGTGAATTTCCTGTCACCATTTACATATCTTGTTTTTCTTTTTGATGTGTTTCTTTTTCCCTAGTCTTTTCAAGAGTTGTTTTCTATCAACTCTAATCTTGCCACTTTTCTTTTGTTTTGCATCATCTTGGTCCATTTCAATGTCTTCATCTAAACAAATACAATTTTAAAATTCAAAACTTCACTAGTAATAACTTGCACAAAGTCTTGGGACTTAAGCTTACTTGAGTTTTGCTGCACGTGCTTTTGTTCTTCTTTATCTGTGTTGTTGTCTATGTACTGGTCTTTCACTCCGCTGTTACCAGCCATCTCTGTGTCTTTATCGGATCCACTTATGCCTAATGTCTGAAGAAGCCTCTCCTTTTCTTTTACTTTGTACTTYTCTCTTCTCTGTCGGCGTAACATTCGTTTTCTTTTCGATCTCAAACTTTTCGCCATTTTGGTTTGATGTGTTTTTTAGAAAGAGACTGGAACTAGCAATACTACTACATAGGAAGCCCAATATTACGCACATGGACAAAAAAGATGGCTGTTGGATTTAGGACTGCAAAACGTGTGATTAACGCTGTTATTGATGCTCAATACCTCGCTAATAATGTAATATTTATGAATAGTGAGTACATGTATTAATTAATGTTGCTTCCCATGTTATAGATTCAGTGATTTGTAATATGTTTGGTTATTTATCAGATGATGTTGTGGCTTTGAACAAGCCTTATGGGATTCCTGTTCATGGTGAGTTTTTTTTTTATTATAACTATTGTAGCTCAATATGTATAGAAAGTGACTTGTTTAAAAAAAAAATGCTTTCCTTATTTATTTTTCATATCTCTGTTGACAGCAGTTTCTTAGAAGCTACAACCATATATTTATGATCACCATCATCGYAATCATCAGACATCATTATTTTGAGCTTTTCTAATATAGGCGGACCAGGTATCCCAAACAGCATATCAGACTATCTAGAAGAACTAGCCACCCTTAAGGGTTTAAATTGTAAACTTGAACTGGCACAYCGATTAGACAGGTATTTCATGATGTTTTGAATTTAATAGAATAAACATTTAAAAGAAAATGTTGCACCAACCTTTAAAKTTTTTTATTTATTTGATTTGCCCCAGAGACTGCACAGGTKTTTTATTGCTGACCAGGTAAACAATATTATTGAAAAAATGACACTTGTTCAATTTGTTTATATTAAATGTTTTTAAAAATGTTATGCTCAGAAACAGGTCTTCTGCACAAAGAATATCAGAAATGTTTCACAATGGGCAGATTMGAAAGAAATACTGGGCTATAACTGTTGGAGTGCCTAGGTTTGAAAGTGGCAAGATTAGTATTCCTGTTGGCTATGGAAGRGTTGGAACATGGAACCGTATTGTTCTTAGAAAAGATCTCATTAATAAATCTTCACAGGTATGGTCATTGTTTTGTAACTGTGCCAGTTTGAGAAGTTAAGATGTAATTTCGCATTGAAGCAAGGTGAGGGAAAGGTTTCAATGATAGTTATAGCTGTCCTATTCATTTGCTTACAGACAATCAAATCTGCTGGTTTTAAAGATGCTATTACTAAATACACTGTGTTGGATAACAATCAAAAGACTTGTTCACTGTGTGAAATAAAGCCTGCAACAGGCTATAAACAGCAGATAAGGGTCCATTTGGCTGATGGTCTAMGCTGCCCTATACTTGGAGACCATAAATTTTCTTCCATTCAACCTCAGCCTCAGGTAAGATTGTCTCAAATGTCTGATTCAGATTCCTGTCAGATTGTATTATCTTCCTAACTATTCATTTCCAATAGTTGAAAAAGATACTGATTAGATAACTTGGCCATTRGTCATACAAAAGTTGAATTATGTTGTTGTGTGCACTCTATTTCTCAGAGTTTTTCGTGCATATTAAATATGGCTGTAATAACAACAATAAATATGCATGGTTTAAAAGTATTGTACATYGTRCAAAGATTTTAATTCTTTTTGCATAGGAACTCCCATTAAGATTCCTCCAATTRCTACAAATTAAAGGAGTGAAAAGAAATGGGGATAAACATGAGAARGGACATATTCGACCTTGGCAGAGAGGATTGATACCACTTCATCTCCATGCCAGAGAAGTGGTKTTGCCTGGACTCAATTCTGGAAAAGAYATAGTTATTACTGCACCAGTTCCCCAATTCTTTGAAGATACATTACAAAAACTAAATTTACACCCAAARAGAGACTCAYTGATCCAGTCTAGGGAAGAAGCTCAATATTACAAACTTCGCAGACTTGGAAAATCTTCTAAAAAGTTTATTGGATTTTAATATTTTGATAGTATCTTTTAGAGCAAACCCAGAACACTGACTAGATGGTTATCTATTTAAAATAAAAAATATTACTTTTCAATGCTACTGAGGGATCTTCTGTTTTTTGTTTGTTTGTTTGTTAATATTTTTTTTTTGCAAACAAGTTTATATTACAATGCATATTTATATATTTTACCCAGTAGTATTATACAATATCTTTGGTTCAATGACTGTATGTACCCTTTTTGTTTGTGTTATGATGAGTTATAGAACCTTAAAATGCTCATCCTTTTTGGTCAGAACTTGCATTTAATGGTTTTCAAGGGCGGATCCAGCAGA